ACACCAGCTTAGTTTTTCCCTGGTGAACCGAGGGCTGTTTGCAGGCTCTGAAGCCTCTGCAGCCCCAGTGGAATGTGGTTTTAAACAGAGGGTGCCAGACCCTTCCCAGGCTTCTGCAGTTGCTGGAAGGGCCAGTTTTTCCATTTTTGTGGCTGCAAACTGGGATGTTTTTCACACTCATCCTCTGCCTCCTGCCCCGTGTCCTCTCCCCACCCTCCCATGAGTGTTTTATTCCGCAGCCAGGTCCAGACCACGAGGCTTGTTCTGGAGAAAACAGCAAAACCACCACCTTGAAGAGGAGAGGAAAACAGCCTGTTTCCATCTGGGGCTTGTTGAGAGCGCTGCTCATTTCCCAGGGGAGCTCTGAGGATTTGGGAGAAGCCCAGGGGAAGATTCTGGGGTGTTTGTTCTCAGAGCCCAGAGCTTTGCTGGTGCCACATGTGCCAGCCCTGCTGTCGGTGTCACTTGGCACTTACCTGCCATCTTTGGGCTTCAGCCTTTGGATCAATATCTGCCTGTTTCCTGCTCTTTGCTATGAAGCCCTGAACAGTTTCCCCCAAAAAAATCCAGAGAGTCCAGCTGGATGTTCTGGTGAATTCTCAGCAGGTGTTGTCAGACAGTTTCCTCATTCGCCCAGCACCACTAGGGGTACTTGCAGAAGTGCCTGGGAAGTGGGAAATCCCATGCTCTGCCAGTCTGAAATTCCCAAACCTGTTCTCAGTCCTCCCTGTGGGGTTGGTTGCACACCCTAGCAGGAGAAGCCCAGGAATTCCCAGAATTCCTGGAACACTGAGGGGAGAAAGGCCAGGGAGCAAGGGCTTGTGCAGAGGGGCACTGATGGGAAGTGCAGGATTTTTCTGGCAGGGAAAGGATTTTTGCTGGTGAACCATCACTGTGACAGATGTGTGGGCTCACAGAGGGGTGGTGTCCCCAAAGCTGTTTTGGGAGGGGTGGCCCTGAGCTCTTGGTCCAGGCTCCAGCTCTCAGAAGTGCAGTGTAGGAAAGTCCAGTTGTCTTCCCTCTTCCTGAATTTTTTGTAACACTTCAGGACCAACAGTGTTTTTGTGCTGAAATAAATGTGTGACAGGTTTTTTGCAGTAAGCTGAGTCCTGGTGGATGCTTGCTGGGACTCCCCAGGACATCAATCCCAGGGCAATCATGAGGATCTGGGATGCCTGCAGAACCATCCCTCCAATCACCTCCTCACCACTGCTCTCCAGGTGTTTCCTGTGAGGAGGCAAACGAAGGGTCCTTAATGTTGCATCTTTTCACAGGCAATCAGGGATTCTCTCAGCAGGGAAGGTTGTTCATCAACAATTCTCATGAAAGGAGAAGAGGGAATGGCTTCCCACTGCCAGTGGGCAGGATTAGGTGGGATAATGGGAAGGAATTCTTCCCTGTGAGGGTGGGCAGGCCCTGGCACAGGGTGCCCAGAGAAGCTGTGGGTGCCCCTGGGTCCCTGGAAGTGTCCAAGGGCTGGACAGGGCTTGGAACAACCTGGGACAGTGGAAGGTGTCCCTGCCCATGGCAGGGGTGGCACTGGATAAACCTGAAGGTCCTTTCCCACCCAAACCATTCCAGGGTTCTGTGATTCCCCGTGTCCCTAAAGACCAAGCTGGGCTGTGGAGGTGCTGTGTGGCTGCAGTGGGATGCTCCCAGAGGAGCACTGCATTCCTGCAGCCATTGTTCCTGAGGGAATGGCAGTGATGGGGGCCAGGAGAGGGGAGGCAGCTCAGCCTCGGTCCAGTTGAGTTTTGGAGCTCGGTTCTTCCTTGCAGCTCCTTGCAGCCTTCCCAGATGGATGCTGCTGCGTGCAGAGCTGTGACTGCTCTGGAGCTGAGTTATTTACAGCTCACTGCAGCTGACTTACACCATCTCCATCAGCAGGGCTGAAGGCAGAAGGAAAACCTTCTGGAAGGAGAGACAGGAGATACAAAAATCCCTCCCTGCTTTTTTCCCCCCTGTTGTTACAAACCCTGAGCCTGAAGCCTGCAGTGGAGTTGAGGAAAAATCTGTGAAGCAGCAGGGATCTGTGGGGTGAGGTGGGCACCACGTGGAAACGGGGCAGGAGCTTCTCACTTTGACCTTAATTTGTGCAATTACAGCTAAAGTCAGTTCTCCTGGTCAGCTGGAAACAAAAGAGCTTTTCTGCCTTGCTGTGCCCAGCTCCATCCTCACAGCACTGACACAACGGAACAAAAACTGGAACAAAAGAGCCCTTCACCATGTCCAAAATCCGGTGGCCTTGGAAAAGGTCACTGGCTGATGGCTCTGGTTTCCCCAGCCCCTGGGGCAGAGGGATTTGCAGAGCCCACGTGTAGGTGTGGGAGATGCAGGGGAGAGGCATCTTCAGGAGCAGGTCCTGCTGGGACAGGCAGGGGAGCACTGAGGAGCTGCCAGGGGGACAGCAAGGTGCTCAAGGACCTCCAGAGCTGCATCTTGGAGCTGCTGTCATTGGCAAGTGCTTAAAGCTCCCCAGGGTTTGGTTTTCCCTTGGTTTGGGTTGTTTTTTTTTTTTTGTTTTCATGGCAGGGCTGATTTTCATGCTGGCTGCCAGCTATGTGTGGCTTGCTGCAACTTGCAGCCAGGTTGTGGTTGCTTCCTCCCCACGGTTTATTCAGTGTTTCTCCTCTCTCCACTCCAGGTTAAGGTGTTTTTGCTGAATTTCCTCTGTGCTTTGCCTCGCTCGTTCCTTCCTGTTCTGTTTCCTCCTGTGCTCCTCAATCCCCTTGGCTGCTCATCTTTCTGCTTTGCAATCCCTTCTCCTCCCCTGCTCTCCCTGTCCTTTTGCTGCGCTCTGCACCTGACACATTCCCCAGCAGCATTTTCTCTGCAAGCTGCTTGTCCAGACGAGTGATGGCTGTGATATTTACGTGTCCTTCACAGGCCAGTGCACGGATGTCACCGAGGGGTGACCCCTGGGGTGGCTGCTGAGCCTCCCTGGGACGCTGGTGCTCGCTCAGCTGTGTCACTCCTTCACTTGGCTCCTCCAGATGGGAAGGGATGGGAAGGGGAGGAAAGCCTCCTGGCCATCAATCATCCTTGAGCCTGCCTGGACTGAGATTTGCAGTCTGTAAATAATTTTACATTTGCCTCATGTAAAATTATTTCCTTTGTCTTCTTCTTCTTTGTCTTCTTGTCTTTTTCTACTTCCTCTTCTGCTTCTTCTGCTGCTGCTTTTTCTGCTGCTTCTTCTCCTTTTGCTTCTGCCTCTTCTTTTTCTGCTTCTTCTTCTGCTTTTTCTTCTGCTTTTTCTGCTTCTTCTTCCACTTCTGCTTTTTCTGCTTTTTCTTCTTCTTCTTCTTCTCTTGGTGCTTTGCTTCAGCATGTCAAGCCCTCCCATCTGGGAGCAGGGCTTATCCCTGCCTGAGGCTGTGCTCCTGGCTGGTATCAGCTAGGCAGAGCTTGAGATTTTGATAAACTTAGTTTTATTATTGCAGCAGTGAGGGTTTAATGCTCTTTAACTTCTCTTGGCTCAGCAACTCCCATGGTTTCATCTCAAGCCAGGCTGCTGCTGTCAGAGGCAGCCTGGGAGCCCTGCATCCATCCAGGAACGTCAGCCAAGGCTCTGGGGGCCCTTCCCACCCAAATTCCCACCAGCTCCTGACTTCCCACCCAATCCCATAGGATGCTGCTACCCAAGTGCTCCGAGGATTTTGGAGGCTGCAGGGATGGCGTCCCACGGTGATGTCCCTTGGCCACTAAATAAGCAGCTCGATTCTGTTGTGTTAAAAAAAATCAGATAAAAATAAAGCGCAGAGTTATTCACACGTAGCAAAAAATAGATCTGGTATGTGGTGCCTGCCTGCAGTGCACTCCAGGAGCTGCAAAGGCACTAGCTGGCACTTGGGCACCAAGGGAAAGCTATTATTTATAGCCAGGCTCACTAAACCATTCCCCCAAAGGTTTTTTTTCCCTTCCCTTTGTAGCATCACCGCCCTTTCCCCTCACCAGCAGCGTTGCACTGATTGTGCGTGAGGCTGTAAGCAGCACCTTTTTTGTCCCTGTTTTAAAGCACTTGCAGGGACACATTCCCAGGAGGGAATTCAATCAGCGCTGTGCAGCCAGGGGTGGATTTGATGGATTTCCCTGTGTCTGTCCCTGTGCTCCATCAGAGGTGGATGTTTGTTCCCAAGTGTGGCACTGTGCAGGTCCATTTTTCAGGGGTCAGCAGCAGGGTTCTCTTATTCCCCAGCTTCCCCCAAACCCTTACTTGTGTTTTAAGCCCAAAACCTGGACATTTGAAGTCCAAAGGCACTTCAGGTGATCTGCAGAGAATAAATCCACATCCTTACTAATTTATGAATTACCCAGCATGTCTTGAATAACTGATTTATCAGCACCAGGCACTTGGGAGGGTGCAGGGCCCCGGGGCTGCGAGGAGGGGAACAAACCTGGGAGGAGGAGGAGGAGGAGGTTTTGCAGAGCTGGGGTTTTTCTGCTGTCAGCAGGGCTTTGGCAGGCGCCTCTGTGTGAGGACAGGGGCTGTGGTGGGGCTGTGATGCCCTGTGAAGGCTGACCTAGAACAGAGGCTGGACAGAGGTAAAGAATAAAGCAGAGATTTATTAAAAGGCCTCAATGGATCCACCTTGGGTAGCACAAGAGCCCAGCCAGGGCTGCACCCAAAACGAACCAAAACGGTCACAAAATGGACAGCAGGTCATGGGATCTTTCACTTTTATAAGTTCTGCTCCATTTGCATATTGGAGTTAATTGTCCAATTACAGCTTTAGGTTATGAAGTCCCATCCTTCTTGTTTTTCTCTCTTTATTCTGCCATTGTTTGTGCTCTTGGGCCTGAGATTTGGGTCATTTGTCCTTGGTCCCCAGCTAGAGAGGGAATTGTTTTGTCTCCCTACTCTGTGCAGAGAACTCACCATCCCATAATATGAAGCTCAGAACTGCACACTAGAGCAGCACAGAATGTGAAAACTAGAAAAGCTAAACCTGAGGCATCCCTGTGACCCCAGCAGAGCCTGACAGCCCTGGCCTGTCTTGCAGCCCAGCACTTCATCGCGGCCACGGCGTGCCAGGAGGCCGACTACGGCTGGATGATCCGGCACTACTGCCTCAAGGACTTCCAGGACAGCATGGAGGGCATCGGCCAGCGCCTCTGGTGTGACTGGGACGAGACCGTGGGGTAAGTGAGCTCCCTCTGCTCCTCCCTCTTGTCCGTCTGGCTCTTTGGGGTTTGTCTCATGGGGGAACACCCTGATGTCACTCTGCTTGGCTGCTGGTGCTGCCCTGGCTTTGTCCCTGCTGCGTCCACAAGGGGTTTCTCCAGCCTGGTCACACCTGGAGGGCCTGGAGGGGAGAGCGGTGGATGTTGTGTGCCCAGACTTTGGTGAGGGTTTTGGCACTGTCTCCTGTGTGTGCTGGGTGAGGTGGGTTGGGAGCAGACAGGCCTGGGGGGTGTTGATCGCTGGCCAAACACCCAGGGGCCACCACTGTCCTGCTTGTCTCTCCATTGGTAATGTGGGTGATGGGACTGAGGGTAACCCCAGCACCTCAGGTGACACCAAACCTGGAGCGTTGTGCTGCTGTCCACGGAGACCTCAGCAAGGCTGGGAACCTCCTGAAGTTCAGCAGGGAGAAGGGCAAAGTCCTGCACCTGAGGAGGAGCAGCCTCAGGCACCAGGACATGCTGGAGAAACCAGTGTCTCGGTTTGAGAAGACAGGTGTCTGCTAAAGAAGGCAGGAGCACCCCTTGAAATGGAAAATGCAAACCCCCTTCCCCTGAGTTATTATAATTTTGAAATTAAGGGGCTCTCAGGCAAAGATATGGGAATAGGAAATAACAGTTCTTTAGTAGGAAAAATAAAAATAAAATAAACAATGCAGTGATACAGAACAACACTGACAGATTCAGAATACTACCTGACACCCTGTGTGTCAGGGTGGTGGTAGCAGTCCCATTAAATGGTGGCTCAGCCCTCCTGCAGTGCCAGCTGTGGTTCTGCTGGAACAGGGATCCTGTAGAAGGGCAGAGTTTTCCTCTGAAGGTCCACGGGTGCTGTAGATGGGCCTGCTCTTCCTCTGGGAATGCAGTGCAGAAGAAAGCTGCTCCTCTTGAAATCCAGTAGAAAAGGCTGCTGTGGTATTCCAAATGTCAGATTCTATCCAAGAAGGAATGCTTGGCTCCTCCCCCTGGGCAGAGCATCTCCCAGTGGGATGAGGAATTTTATCAGCCATGCAGGAACACTCAGTGGCCATGAACAGAAGAGATCTCCTGGAGGGAGGATTGGTTGTGGAAGAGATAAAGAAAACTGCCCAGTGAATAGAAGAGAACTGCCCCAGATCTAACAGATAGAGAATAGAATTCACACCCCCAGGCACATCTTGCATTTCCAGCCTAAGACAACAAGAAAGGGACCTGGGGGTTCTGGTGGGCACCAGTTTGAACATGAGCCAGGAAAGTGTCCTGGTGGGAAAGCATGGGAAGAAACTGAGGCATGGGAGATCCTCTCTGGACACCAGGAAATGTGTTTTCACTGCGAGGGTGGCCAAACACTGGCACAGATCTCTCAGGGGGGATGTGGAATCTCCATCCTTGGAGACAGTAAAAAAACAGCTCATGATTATGAGCAGCCAGCGGTGGGTGGCCCTGTGTGAGCAGGGGTGTTTGGACAGGGTGAAGTTGATCTCCAGAGGTCATCTCCAGCCTCAGCCATTCTGGGATTAGGGTTTTTCAAGGAGCCCAGCCTAAGCAGGGTTTGGAAGTCAGGGTGGTGGTCATGCTCCACCCCACAGCAGTGGAGCTCCACTAGGAGACGAGCATGGCTCTGCTGTGTGCTGGAAATCGAAGGGTTAATGAAGACTGGGATCCCCATCACGGGGGCTTCTGGTGCCTCACAGCTTGATGGACATATTTTCCAGGAGGTTTTTCATTTTTGCTCAGCACTCTGGTTCTCCAGACAGTTCAACCCCCCGACTCAGCGTGGAAAGCCCGTAACCCCCCGAGATGTCCTCAGAGCCTCGCTGGGAGAAAACCCCAGACTGTCCCACCGGAGCTGCTGGCTCAGCCCCTGCTTCCAGGAGTTGTGTGTTGATTTTTCCAAGCAACTAGAGGGAGAGGCTGCAATGGTATGGCAATGGCAGCTGCCTGCTAAGCCTCCTGTTTGTAATCAGTGTCAGGGAGCCAGCTGTGATTTACAACCTGGGAGCAGCAGAGATGCAGCCTTGCTTCCCTGCTGGAATGCTTGGGAGCATCTCTGTCGGATGAGGAGGGTGGAAAGTGCAGCCCCACCAGGGAGAGCAGGGGGACACCCCACACATGGGGAATGTGCTGCTCTGCAGGGGCTTGTTGGATTTTTTTGGGAATTTCCTTTGGGTTTGGTTTTATTTTTATTGCAAACAGCGCTTTCTTTGGATTAGCTCTTTGCTATTTGTAGTCAGCAGAGCTGAATCTTCTGGTACCACCACAGTGTAGATCTGCTGAGATGGTTTTGATTGAAGCTGAAAGACTGGTCAGGGGTGGCTGTGTGTTGGTGTGAGGGCTTAACCCCCCTCTTTCCCCCTTCTGCTGACTTTCCATCTCGTGCCTTTCCATGGCCTTTCCCTGGGAAAATGAAGTGGCAGAACAAAAATGAGCTCATGTGACACCAGTAGGGATGGGGGTCAGCTGGAAACAGGGAGCAGATGGTGCTGTGTGCCATGAGTGTTTTGCACAAAAATTAAGAGGTTTTGTTAGATTTCTGTGGTTTCCTGCTTCGTGGCCCTTTCTTCGGGTGAAATTCAAACCTACACGTATGTGTATCCATCAAAGCTTGGACTTCCAGATCTTGGAGGTCTTTTCCAACCTTGATGATTCTGTTCTGTTGTTCTAAACAATACTATTGGGTTTTCCTTCCCCTTGATCCCTGGCAGAATGGAGGGGAAAAAAAGAGAGCTGAAAGACTGTGGGAGGTTTCTGGTCTTGATAAGCCTTGTCTGGTGCTCAGAAATGCCCACGGCTGCTGGTGTTCCAGCCCTGACCATCTTGTTCTTTAGCTCCCATGTCCTGTTTGTCTCCTAAACAGCTCCAGCTGAACTCGTTACCCTTGAGGCACTTGGAGGAAATGTTGATAAGCTTGCAGGGTTTAATTTGATTGCCTGAGTCCATTTGCTCCGTGCAAACACATGGCTCAGGGTTATTTGAGAGATGACATTCCTCTGATCCTCTTGTGCCCTCAGGACAGTGGAAAAATTGGGTAGAAAAAGTTTTAGTTACTGCAGTAAATCAGCTGCAAGGATATGGGGTTTGGGTGGGCTCAACACCTTGCTCCCTGGATGTGTGTGGGAATCACCATTCCCTTTTTGGGGAAAGGGAAGATGCCCCAGCAGGAGTGGGCAGAGGGTGGCATAGCTGGGGAAGGATTTTGTCTTCCACCAGGTGTGAGACAAAGAAATGGAAATAAAGCACCTGCCTAGAGCGTGTTCTCTCCAGATCTTCCCCCAAACCAAGGAATTTCAGTGCTTGAAGCCTGTCTGAAACGAGCAGGAGGGTTGGGAGGTTCTGCCTCTGTCCCAACAGCAGCATCATATTGGGATGATTCCTGGATGCAGCATTTAGCAGGGAAATGCCCCTAAGATCCATAATTCCTGCTTAGTTGAGGATGGCACGATGGGAACATCTTGACATGGAGAGAGACTCTAAAACTCAAAGACAGAACGAGTTTTAACGTAGGTGTGTTTTTATTCAGACAATGAGTTTTAAATTAGGTATGCTTTTATTGGGCCGTACACATGGGGACATCTCCACCAAGTCATGCCTGCCCCCTGCTCACTCCAGTTTTCTTTTATCCCCTGGAATGTTACATATGCATCAAGGTTCACAGTGGATAATTTCCTGGCTCCCCTCCCTCTCAGCTTTGTGTGCTAATAATCTTATCAGTTGTCTCTGGTGGTCGTCTTGGGATCCTGGGGGATGAAGTAAAGTTGTCTTCCTCAGGGTTGGCATTCTGACCCTGTTGCCTTGCACATGCTTACTGATCTTTTGGCCACTGTCCAAGCCAGGAGTCCAGATTCATTTCGGGGCCCAAGGAGCCTCCCTATCTCAGTGTCCTTGCATACTGTATGCTATCTTTGAGAAAAAATAAAAATCCTTCCCCTTACCAAGCATCCTTGCATTCTTTCCTGCTGTTTTGCACATAGTACTTTCCTTTCTCAGGAGATCAAGGATGCAGCAGATACTAAGCAGTGTCCATAATTTATGTGCCTATTCCTAATCAATACCTTCTAATTTCTGTGATTTTTGTATATATCCTCTAGTTTCTGACCCCGTGTTTCAATCTGGACCAATGAATTGTCTGTCATCGTGGGTCACTGCTCCTGTTTGTAGGCAGCAGATGCTGCTCTGTGGATGGGTTTGGTAGTTGGTGTGTAGGTTAAATGACTGAGTTAACAGAAGAAGAAATTGATAAAACAAAGAAAGTAAAGAAGTTTTCTCCCTATAAGATAAAAAGTTTAACACATAAACTGCTTTGTGTAATCTTACCTAGGGGGTTTCTCCTTACCCTGCTCCCCTCTCACCCTCAGAGGCATCAGCTGAGCTCTTGCACCACTGCTCCTGTTCTGATGCAGCCACGGGCTCTCTCTGGAGCAGGAGTGTTGGGTGAGGTTGGGCTGGGCCATGTGGACAAGCACCAGCTCTCTGGGAAAGTTTGTCCAGCCCCCTTGAGCTCTGCTGGCTTTCTGACCGTTGCTTATTTAGGGAAAAAGGGTGGATTTTGATATTCAAGTTCTTCTCATGGACTGAGGGAGCTTGTGTGAGCTGTTGCCCACTTTGGCTGCCCTGGGACTCAAAGGCCAGGCTGGAGCTGCATCTCAGGATCTTTGGTGGCCGAGCTGCTTTGGCCAGGAGCTCAGCTGTGCCCAGTGAATTATCCCAAAGAGCAGCTTGGCTATTTTGACTCCAGCTCCAGCTCCATGGGCGTGCTGGCTGGGCCAGGGGGATTAGCTGTGGTCTCCCTGGAGGCAGCTATTTCAGGGATGGGGAGGGCTGGGGCTGCCACTGCGCACCCCCAGTGCGTCAGCAAGCACTGATGACTTGGGGATATTTGTCCCGCGGGGTTTTGGCTGCGGTGCCGAGGCCAGGGAATGGATTTGCAGGAGGGTTTGTGCACAGGGGGATGCTCAGGGTGCTGAGTGCTGCCACAGCTGTGGGTGTCACTCCAGCCCAGCCAGGCATCTTCATCCCAAATATATCCACGCTGTGGCATTCCTGAAAATCTCCATGGAATGCTTTCCCCTGGTGCTGCGGGAAGGAGCTCACCAGGGCAGTCATGGTGCTGCTGTGACAGCTGCAGCCAGGGATGGAGCTGCTCTCCCAGCTGTCAGCACACACACACTCTGTCTTCAGGTTATTTATCCATTATTTACAAAAACAGATTGATACATTTTCTTACTATCTACTTATGTATCTTCAGCTTGCCAGGTCCCTTCTGGATCCCCCTTTAGCCTGGCTCCAGGCCCACCCTGCAGCCTTGCAGAGGAGGAAATCAATGTTTTCTTTTAATTTGCAAAGCAAAAGTGAAACCTTGTGGTGTTTTCTCTTTTACCCTCTGAAGCAAGGAATTGAGGGAGGATAGGAAATACCGGGATACTCACGGTGAAGAAAACCCAAAGCTGTCAATCCTGTGAACCCCAGTCCAAGTGCAACACCATCCACATCCAAGTGCTGTCAAGGAATAAATGCCACAGCCAATTCCAGTCTTGGCTGCAGTGATAAAAAACCCCAGAGGAATTCCTTAGGATTTATAGCAGTATAAGCATTCAGATGCCATCAGATCCTAAATCATTCTTTGACTGCTTCCCATGCCCATCCTGCCTGCAGCCCTTCATCCCCACGCAGTCCAGCCACAGCATCCTTTAAAGCCAAACCATTTCCATGGAGACAGGGACAACAGTTGTAACTGCAGTTCACATTAGGTAGGGAAAGAATACTCCCAAGCACAGCCAAGATTTTCAGGGCCAGGTGTCTGTCTCCTGGCAGTGGTGAGATTGTTTGGGAAAACCTGCCCTCCTCCCAGAGCTATCCTAGAGTGGCTGCTTAATATTTTCGTGGGGGAGATGGAGGCTTGCAGATGAGCTGTGGGCTTGCCTGAAAGCCAAAAGCTGACTCCAGGCTTGCTACAGGCAGAATGGAAGCTTGGAACAAAGTTTATTAGGGAGGCTGTCCTGTTGAGTCAGGAGATGCAGAAAGGAACCCCTGGCTTCCTCGATGTCCTGGGGTGGGGTCTGGGTGTGGCTGCATCCAATTATTTCCTATATAGCATAGGTAGTTATTTATATTGCCCTGTTTATTGAATCCAGTTGGAAGCAAAGTTGTTAAAATGAGCAAAATAATTGTTGTGTAGAGATTGATGTTACCCATGTGGGCAAATCGTGACCCCCCTTCTCCATCCGTCCGTGGGAACTTGCACAAACAGGGTGAAGTTCAAGCTGCTTTACCCCCCTTAGCAGAGCATCCTCTCTCCAGGGAGTTTTAACTCCGTGCCTGAGGATCATCCTTGCAGCCTCCAGGGCTTGGCTCAGCTCTGCCCTGCTGAGCGTGGTGGGTGTGGGGGAACACGGCGTTCTGGGGCTGGGCTGGAGGGTGACAACAGCAGGGCAGAGCTGAGCAGGAAAACAACCCCCCCTCCATGAGGCATCTCACCACCAGCCCAGGCTGAACTCCCAGTGGGACCAGGCTGGCCTGGTGCTGTCACAGGAACGTGGCCCTGCTCATGAGGAGAGAGCAGCAGATGCTGCTTTGGAGAGGCAGTGGGACACGTCCACCAGGGCTGTGGCAGGGAAGAGCACACTCTGGCCCAGGCAGCAACACTGCTGCTCTCCAGAGGGATCCTGATCCTGTCTGACAGCGCAGCGTGAGCAGCCTGGATCTGTGGTTAACCCTGGCTGTGGGTCCTGTTGGTGTCCTGCTGTGGCAGGAGAAGGTCCCCAGTGCCCTGTGACTGGTGCATCTGGGATGGACAGGAGATGCTGGAGTCTCACGGGGCCGTTTGGGGGTCTGTGAGATGCAGTGGAAGAAATGAGAGCACTTGGCACAGCTGGGAGCTCAGCTTTGTGCTGAAGTGCTGTGGTCAGGTGTGCTCTGGTGAGAAATCAGCTCCTGGAGACAGCAGCCTTGCTCTCCCCTGGCCAAGAGCTCAGCAGCCCTCAGTGTCACGTCTGCACTGGGACCTGTTCCTCAAGAGTTTCTTTTCCCTCTGGGATCTTCCCACTCACTCCCCACTGGCCTCAGGGGTGTGTGGGGTCAGTGCCAGTGGTGCCACCCTGCTCCTGCTGAAGATGCCAGCTGGAGCAGGGGGCTTTAATGCCAACAGCAGAAATAGAAGGGACAAGACACTTAGGGTGTGCTAAGCCCCGCATTAAGGTGCAGGGCCCTCCCCCCAATCACAGCCCCCTGCCTCCTCCTTGTGCCCCCAGGCTGCTCCTGGGGCTGTGGCTGCCCAGCCCCTCCCTCAGCTCCATCCTCACCTGCTGCAATCCGCTGCTGCCTCCCTGGAAAGGGCAGTGCCAGTTTATCCTTTCATTGGCTGGCACTGCTGGGCTTTGGTTCCTTGCATGTCTTCACACGCAGTGATGGGAGCAGTGATTTATCCCTGTGGAAGTGCAGTTGGAGCCAGGGAAAGACTAAGCCAGCTGCACTATGGCCCTTGAGCTTTAAAAATAGCTTTTCTTCGCCTGTTAACACTTTCCCTCTGGTTCCTGAAGATGCTGCAGCTCCTGAGATCTCCTAAGGATGCTGATGAACAGGAAATGGTAATTTTGCACATTGGGATGCTGAGCAGAAGCTGCTTTTAGCAGCTGCAGGCCCTATTAATTAAATCTCTGGCTGTGTGGGCACAGCCTGCCCCAAAACCCCAAGCCCCAGCTGAGGAGCTGTGCTGGGGCTGTGCAGAGGGGCTGGGAAGCTGCTTCCAAAATATTTCTTTCCCCCAGGCAGGTTTTTAATTGGAGAGCTGGGGTTTGCTTTGCTTTGCTTCTCTAGGATTAGATGTGACTAATTGGGATGGGGGGGAAATTGTATCTGTGTTTTTATGCGTGGCCAGTTTTAAAGCAGGAAGGGTTCAGCTGTCATTTTTAAAGCAGGGAGGGTTTAGCTGTCATTCCAGAGCATGGCTGCATGGCCTGGCACAGGGACAGTGGCTCTGGCCCAGGGCTGCTCCTGCTTTTCCAGGTATTAAAAAAAAAAAAGAAAAGGAAAAATGGACTTGCTGGTTTTAGAGGGGTGGGCCTGCCCAACGGGTTTCTGTGCTGTCTCCCCAGTTTTAGGCAAATTAAAGGAGATTTTAAAGTAGATTCAGTGTACTTATTTCTGTCCCCCTTTGGACTGAGCTCACACAAGCTGGAGGATGCTGCTCCGAAGGCCAGGTTGGGATGGGTTTCCTGAAGGTCTGCTTAAAATGTGGGTCTAGCCTGTATTTTTAATAGCGCCAGTTCAGCCAGGAAATTCTGCAAAATTTAACACAAACCAAACAAAAAACCTCCAAACTTGCTTCTTGGTATTCCTGTAAATACTATTTCTGTTTTCATTTCCTTCTGTGAATTGAACCACCACCACCACCACCACGTCATTCCATAAATGAAAACAGCTTTTGGCTGTGAGCACTTAAAAGTTGCCATCAAATGTGGGAATTTAAAATATCCTGTTACCTTTTTACCTCTCTAGCTGTGAACTCAAAACCCCATATATTTTTATATGTTACATACATTTTCAAAAATCCATTATATATATTTTATGGGGCTAGGTATATCCAGCTGGAAACTCAAAAAATAGTGAAAAAAATTTAAGAACTCACATGTGTAGTGCAATCTCAGGTACACACTTCTGTCACAGAATATATTGTACGGGGAGGGATATATTATGTGCGATATATAAAAAATATATATAATATATATGTGATGTATATTATATATATGATATTCTATTCTATTCTATTCTATTCATTATAAATTACGTAGTATATATTTTGTATTTTATACATGCAATATATAATGGATGCAGTACTTCATACTGCACGGGGGGAAGGTGGCATGGCCGTGGCCGGGCGCTGGTGCCGGTGCCACCAGGGTGCCACCGCGGTGCCAGCCGGTGTCCCTGTGTTTTGCAGCACCTACGGGGAGCTCACCAACTGCACGGCGCTGATCGCCGAGAAGCTCGACTGCTACTGGCCCAACCGGCTGGTGGACGAGTTCTTCGTGGCCGTGCACAAGCAATACTTCAGGAACTGCTCCCCGTCGGGCCGGGCGCTGCACGACCCCCCGAACGGCGTGCTGTGTCCCTTCATCGTGCTGCCTGTCCTTGTCACCCTGCTGATGACGGCGCTCGTGGTGTGGAGGAGCAAACGCAGCGAGGGCATCGTGTAGGGGCGGCGCAGGGCAGGGGAGGGACGGGCGGGACTCCCCTGCGGCGAGCCTGGGGTTTGGGAAGAGCCTGCCAGAGGAGCTGCACGGAGGGTACCGAGCCCCCGAGGCAGGGACAGCATCGCCAGCGCTCCTCCTCCGCTGGTTTCCAAATAAATGTAATTTTAGCCATGGTTATTGGGCGGAGCGGGCTGCCCGGGCAGCGGGGACTCCGCGGGGCTCAGCCCGCACCGGCCGCGCTCCGCTCCGCCTCTCCCAGCCGCTTCCCCGGCTTCGTGTGCCGAGCAGGAGAATTGTAAAGGGAAAAAAACCCAGGGGGTGTGGGGTAAAGGGAAACAAACCCCAGGGGGTGTGGGGTAAAGGGAAACAAACCCCAGGAGGTGTGGAGAGTTGAAATCCTGCCAGCCCCGCGGTGCCAGCGCGGCATCAACACACGTGAGACCAGCGGGTCTGGGTGGGCCTGAACATCCCCGGCTTCCTCTCTGTCCTGTTCTGGGATCCCCCCACACGTGGGAAGGCATTTCTCCCCCAGCCCCCCGCACAAGCACTGGGTTTTGCCTGGGAGGTGGGGGACAACGCGGGGAAGTCGGCGGTGAGACCGGGTGGGACCGCTGGTGCCCTGGGGCTACTAACAAGGAACGGGAATAAGGTGCTTTACCCACCTAACTAAATAAATAAATACACGAATAAACCAGGTGCCCGTCTCTGTGAAGGCTGAGGTGAAGCCTCCCCCTCAGTGCCCTCATTCTGTGCTGCCCCCACCCCCTGAGCACTGGGAGGGTCCCTGGGTGTGGGTGGGCAGCCCGGGGCTTCAGGACCGGGCTCAGCTCAGAGCAGGGAGCCTGGGCAGCACCAGGATGGGCTGGGGAACCCCAACCCTGCCCTGACAGCTCTGGTGCACTCCAGACCCCTTCAGTGCCCTGCTGGCTCAGGAAGGGGTTCCCGAGGGACACCCAGCTGCTGTTTACTCCTGACTCACATTTCCCAAAAAAACCCCAAAACCTACTGGGATACCCAGCCCTGTGCCTGGCCCACCCAGCCCGGACCCCCTCTAACCCAAACCAGTCTATGATTCTGGCAGAGGCATAGGTTAGTTACACCTATACAAATACACATAAAAATACATATAAACAAATATATATTTATGCCAATACATAACCCCCCTCCCCTTCCCAATCTCCTCACCTTCAGGAAAAAATCAGTTTATTTTCCTGGACTGTGAGGTGATGAGATCTAGGATCCCCCCCTCCCCCTGTCCTGGATGAGCACAAACCAATGCTCAGACCCTCTTGTACAGTATTGAACAGTATCCAAACTTTATTATTCTGCTCATCTCCTCCAGGCAAGCAACAATACAGGAAGGGGTGAGGCAGGATTGTTCTGGGAGGCAGGGATGGCTTTGATGGCTGCAGCTCTGTGCTCACGGAGCTGCTGGTATCAGATCAGCTTTCCCTGGCTCTGCTCTGCCCTGGGCACAGCAGCAGCAGGATCCCAGCCTGAGTGGGGAGTCATCCATGGGGACAGCCCAAAAAAGGGGGACTGTGACCCTTCCTTCTGAAGGATGGAACGTGTTAACAGCACCAGGGTGCCACTACAGCAAGAACTACTTTTGTTACAGCAACCTGGTTGAGTTTTTGACTCAAGAATAAGAGAATCCTTCTAATGCCATAAGCAAAATCCAGATGTATTCCCAACCTTGCTCTTTCTGTGAGTGTTTTACCCCCTACCTTTGCTGACATAGCTGTTCTGGCAGCAAAGATCTCCCACTGCAGGTGCCTGCTTAAAATACTGGGCTGGTCCATGTTTCCCTGTGAATGTTGTCTGCAGGTGAAGCTCTCCTCCTGCATGCCAACCCCTGCATTTCACTCCCGGCTTTCCCAGGCCTCCAGCAACAGCTACAGGAGCTGGTGAAGCTGCAAAGGAAAAGGCACAGGGAAAACTCAACACAAAAGTTTCATGCTTACATTTGCACCCCAGCTCTGCTGTGCTCTTGAGGGAGATTGTTTTCATTTCCTCCAGCATCTACAGCAGAGGAACAGCAGGGGAGAAGGAAGGGGGAATAAAACTCCAACAGTCAATGCCCAAGTGTCACACACACACTTGCTCTGCATGAAATCACACAAATATTTATTTCCCAGTTTGTAAAAGCTCAGCTGGGCTCCATCAGCTCCTCTGTGTGATCCCAATCCTGGAGGATGCCCAGGGAGCTCTGACTGAAGCCTCTCCTCTGCAGGCTCTCTGTGCCATGCAGCTCCTTGCAGAAAAGGCACCTGCAGCATCACATCCTCCCAAAACAAGCCAAAGTATGCACGAGTGGGGGGAATGTGTTGTGGCTCCAGCTGTGTCATTCCCTTTCAGTGCAGGAATCCTGAGAACACAGTTAGGTGCTCTCCAGGTGACAGTGCCTAAATTTACCTTCATCAGATCAAAGAGCATCTGATGCTCCCTCCCCACATCAGACTGGAAAGCCAAAGGCAGATTTCTTTTTTAAAAAATCTCCCTTCCATTAATTTTTTCACAGAAATAGATTATATAATATATATCTATATATATAATTTTACTAATACTAAAAGTACTTAAGTTACATGTTAGCCTGTATTTCTTTTAACTACTTCACACAATGAATAGAAACAAAAAGCCAATAAACCTGTAGCCCAAAGAGGGCCTGAAATTAACAATGTAAAAATTCCAAACTGTGACAAAAACGTACTTACATAAAACAGCATCGAGAACTTCAATACCAGAAGCAGAATCTCATTTTGCATTTCCACTCTGGCAAGCTCTATGCCTCAGCTGAGTGACTCTCAGAAAAAGCTCATATTGTTTTTTCTGCTCATCAAAGGCAACAGTTTTGTGATTTGGTTCACAGGAGACCATTTATTGCCAACTCGAAGTGTTCCAAAAACACACCACCTTTTCTGCTTGGGTTGTTTGGGTTTGCTTTTTTCCTTTTTTTCCTTCCCCCCCCTCCACATCAGGCAAGAGTTAAAAAAAAAAAGTGTAATTACAATTTCAATAGTGACTTCTTTTAACTTCTCAAGCATATCTCATCAACAGGATATACAGTACAGTTCAGAAGAGTAAACATTTGTAAAAGGAAGCAGACAACTTTTTCAACCAACAGACAACAATTTCTTGCTGAACTCTCCTTTGAACATGGACAGGTTATGAAGTTAGTTTTCTTCTTCAGTACAACATGGACACAGGACTGGTACAACCCAGGCTGCTTTGGCTGCTGTTGAGGCTCAGGACAGCTCTGGAGCCGTGGTCCTGCCATCCATTTCCCTTCATCATCTCGCGTAGCGCTTAATGTAATCTTCCACTTTATTCCGAAAGTCCTCCTGCAGGGAAGCACAGCACTGTTACCCAGGCACAGCAGGGATGGGCTCACAGGGCAATGTGGCACTGGCAGGGTGAAGCTGCCCACAGCTGTCCCCAAGAGCCCTGAATCCTTACAAGTGCTCCACAGCAATCTCCACTGGGGAATGAACTGGGAGAAGTCTCCCTGCCATCACCAGCTACCAAGTTACGTGCACACAAGACTGCCTGCTATTCCATAACCTCTGTACCCAGGGAAAACCACAGAGCTGTGGTGGTTTGTGCTTATAAAGCACAGAGATGCTGAGAAAGAGAAATTCTGACATGGTGTGATCAGGATGCCAGGCAGACACCACATTCCTGGCACGCTATTCTCACAGGCTGGTATTAAATATGTTCACACAAACACACCGAGGGGCCTATGCTCCAGAGTGCATTCTGCTGGATTTCCTGCTCCCATTTTTGTCTGCTGCTGGAATATAAAGCAGGAAAATCTGGGAAATGTATGTACTCACATCTGTTAAAAAAGAAAACAACTAAAAAAACAATGCATGCAGTAGATGAGGAGGTTTTGAACACTGTCCTGTACACTGGAGCTGCCTGGGGAGCAGAGGCTGTGGAAGCACTGAAATCCTGTGCCAAGGCTCTGCTTTACTGAAGGGCACAAAATCCCATTGCCACGACCTGTGGGATCACAGCAAGGCACAGTCCTGCTTCAAACAATGTCACTTGTCAGCTCCAGGTTTGCCAATACATAACATGATGCCTTTCAAACACATCCCAAGTGTTTTGGCACAGACAGCTGGACATCTCAGCACACCAGGAAGGGGCACTAATGTGACCTTTTTGCCTGAGTCAAGCTTGAAACACACCAGTATTTCCCTGGCTCCCACACCACACTTCAAACACTTAAGATCAGTTCCCCTTGTGATGATTTGGTTTTCTGCTGCTGAGTTTTTCCATCAGTAAAAGGATAAAGGTTATCCCATGGTTAAAATCCAAAAGGATCAAAGAAAACCTATGATCCACGAGAAACTCTGTGATTTCCATTTTCAGCTGATCAGGTGCATCACAGATATCCATAAAAGTGCAAAGTGCTCAGAATCTCAGTGGAGTTTAAAATGCAGTTTAAGGCAGAAATGTCCCATTACAAACAGGGCTGCAGAAATCCCACTCCTCCTTAGGAACAGGCTGCCTGCTCTTCTGGGCTGAAAGAGAAGCTGTTTTGGTCCAACACGGCACCTACCAATGGCAACAGTGTGTGCAGTGACTTTCTCACTCTGCTGCAAGCACTCCCATTTCCACACTCATCCAACTGTATGCTGTGTTAAAAAATGCTGTATTTTAAAAGCTAATGCCATCTTCAGCTGCAATAAAATTCCCAAACCCAGGCAATTTCAACCAGAGATGCAGGTTATGTTTGCTGTGGTGGAAACTGAATTCACTGAGGGTTTCTTGCACATTGTTTCCTGTGGGAAATGGATCTGTAGAGAATTCTCAAAGCCTGACAGAAGGCTCACACTCTGTATGTAAACTCTGAGATAAGAAATGCTGACTTAGAAATTCCATGGAATAGGACAGACAATGTCTATTAAGAGAAATATTCTACTAAGAGAAATGGAACTAGAAACAAGTTTCAAAGGGTGGCCTTGCAAGTAAGACTGGATACTTTGGAGAAATAGAATTGTGAAAGATGCATTGTAGTGGGACCCACAAGGGGTAATTTTTGATGATTGGCTTTAAGGCATTTACAGCGTGGTGTGGCAAAAACTGACAGGCCAAGAAACACTTACAATGTGTTGTAATCAAAAAATAGCTTCTGATTGTGATAACGTGAATTATAACATCTGTATGGTCTCACCCTTCTCATGAGACTGAAAATGGAATAAAAGTTTTTAAAATGCCCCTCAGTTGCCCCATCTCTGGGTCAGAAAGGGCATAATCCAAGAGTTTCCCACTCCTGTGTTTCTCCAAAAGATGGATCACTACAAGGAACTGAGCACAGGGCTGGGAAACTCCACTGGACACACACACAGCTGTACAATATCCAAGAGCAGGGCAGTGCAGACAGCTCAGAGCACCCTTGGCTTTTCCCTCTGTCCCTTCATGAGTTATTAAACAGGAAAATGGGCTCTCAGCAGAGCCTGAAGAGAAGCAAGAGCTCAGTAAGGAAGGCAGAAGGCTCTAGAAAGACACACTGTCACTCAGCAGCCCGGGCTGAAGGAGCTGATGGTGTTGGCAGGGTGCATTCACAGGGTGCTCACTGTGTGTGAACAGCAGGGGCTCAGCCCAGAGCTGCAATATTCCATCCTCACCTGCCATATGGCTCAGCACCTCCTGATTCACGGGGGGCACTTCTCTCTGGGCACAGCT